CTTCTTTGTGAACCACACGTGTCACGAGAGTTTCTCTGTCGAACGGGGCAAATCTTACATTGTGCAAGAGTGATAAATGGTCTGATCTAAAGTAGTTTAATACTGTATGTTCATATTGGCATGCCCTAATTAGACCTGTTTAAGGAGTCGCTACTGAACTATTTGTGATATTTATTGGAACTAGCTAGATGTTGTGGAGTTGGTAAAGGGTTCATGCCTGCAATCTCACAACTCTTTGTGGCCCAAATCCTAAATCTCATTATAAGCATATCCTTCCCATGTCGGTTGATTCTGATAGCACAAAGTTAAAAAGAGTAAAAAAAGAAATCCCTGTTGCTGAAACCTGTTGTTGCCTAATTTAGAAAATATCCCTGTTGCTGATGTCAGGATATATGGTTTGCATATTGTCCTGGACCATCATACTGAGATGTAAATAACAGCTGGGAGCTGTTCTCATATTCTTTTTAATTGATTTTCAGATTCAGATGCTACAAGAACAGCTGGAGAATGGCTCTAATGCCCAGCTTGCTCGTTTGCAGCAAGAAAATTGCATTCTCAGAGATGCTTTAAACCAAGCGACAAGCCAGACTGAAAGCAAGTAAGATGGGAAGTATTACTGTGGAATTATGAGAGGTCAAAGGAGATAGAGGGATAAATTTAAATTTATAAATGTATTTTTAAATATGTCCCTGTAAGAGACCTTCATAGCAAACTCAAAATCAATTTAATTAACTACTATGCCATAAAAATGCATGTAAAAGAACAGGGAAAAATAAAAAAGGCAATCCTATTTTTCTGGATGGAGTAAAGGAGGATGGATTTTTGAATACTGGCCTCCTGTGTAAGGCATATAGCTAATTAAATCTGTTTTGACTCATCTAGGAGGTCTATGGGATACATTTAGGTGAATTATGCAGTTCATCCATATTGTTTATTGTGAAGTACATGAGTTGATTATTATGTTAATACTGAGGACTAATTTTTTTGATGGAATTCTGCCCTGAAAACATTCAGACAATATAATTTAAACCTTTATTCATGATTTAGTGATTTATGAATAATCTGGAATCAAAAATGCATAGGTTTCAAGGAATGTTAGTAAATCTGTTATCTACAGGTAGTCCTTGACCTACAACCATTTGTTCAGTGACAGTTCAAAGTTACGATGGCACTGAACAAATGGTGGTTATGACTGGACCTCAGAGTTCTGGCCATCCCAGGACCCCCGTGGTCATGTGATTGTGATCTGGGCACTTGGCAACCATTCACATTTATGGCTGGTTGCAGTGCCCTGTGATCTTGTGATCACCATTTGCAACGTCCCCTGCCGGCTTTCCCAGAAAGTCAATGGGGAAGCTGGCAGGGAAGGACACAAGTCACTAGGGTAAATCTCCCCCACTCACGCACCCTACCCCAGCCCCTCTGTGCTTGTGTTGCGCCGACCACTTGCGCACCCCCTGCACCTTCACATAGACTCCCCAACCCACGTTGCATCCCCATGCACCATCCCCAACCTGTACCGCAAATGCATGCATCCTCCCTGACCCATGCCGCACCCCTGTGCACCCTTGCCAACCCATGCCATACCTCTCGCAGTCCCTCACACTCATGCCACACCCTTTCACACCCTCCCAACCTGTGCTTCTTGCACAACCCTTCACCCTCATGCACACTCCCTGTCCCACACCACACCCTCACACACCCGACCTGCACTGCACCTCTTGTGCACTCCCTCATGCCCTCACATACCTTCCCCGACCCATGCTTCTCTCACATCCTTGCCGTGCCTCTCATGCACATGCTCACACCCTCATGCAATCTCCCCAACCCTTGCAGCACCTCCCCACACATCCTCTTGCTCCCTCCCACACCTGGCAGCACCACTTATCTGCCTGCTGGCCTGGGACTTACAACTTCCTGCCGTCTTCCCCACTGACTTTGGTTGTGGGAAGCTGGCAGGAAGTTGCCTCATGTAATGATTGTGGGATTCGGTTAACAATGGCACCTGGGACTGCAGGGATTGCCATTGCTAAGCGATGCAGCTGCACTTTATGATCACATCGCCTAGTGACAAAAATTCGGGTCCTAATTGCCATCGTAAGTTGAGGACTACCTCAAGTCACAATGGCACATTTTAGAATTATATTGAAGCCAATTTAATGTGACCTTTATTTCTTATTCTTATTGTTCTTTAATTTAGGCAAAATACTGAACTAGCTAAATTGCGTCAGGAATATAATAAAGTAAGCAAAGAGTTGACTGAAAAGATGGAGGTTTTACAACAGGTAGAGGAACAGAAGAGGATCCTGGATATGAAGGCTGTTGCCTGTGAAGAACAAATCCACCAGTTGCAGGTCAGTGATTTACATTTCCCATCTGTATTAATCAAAAAGTTACTTTTTTTACATAGTTGCAATGAGAATTATATTTGTAATGAAGACTGTCACAAATTCAAAGATTTTGCAATCTGTTTCTCATTGTGGCTGAGGCTGTTTGGCCCATTGGGGTCAAGGATGTTGCCATTGTTGGTCTTGGATGGGGCTGCACTTCCCCATTCAAGGTTGGTGTGCAGCTTGGGGGTTTATGTGTATATAAATACACATAAATATTGAAAATAAATATCAAATTCATAATAATGATGTTTCTTTTCTATGTATTAGTTATATCTAGTTCTTATCTGATTTTAATGTATTAATAATAAATATATAAATGTGTAGTTTTCTAAGTAAATATGTGGCTCATAGGGATCCTTATGTACAGTTTAGTTGCCCCCATTTCTATTTGAGTTTGACACCACTGATCTAGATCATATTTTATCATTTTATTAAGGCTTCCATTGAAGACTATGCTGAGGTCAGGTATTCTGTGTCTACTGCATTCCCCATATCTGTTAAACCATCTTCTCTCAAGGTGCCAGACACCTTCACTTCTTCAACCAATGCCTTCCTATTGATGAGGATTAGGTTCCAGATAGCAAATCCCTTGTCCTTTTTTCCACTTTCTTACAAATGAAGTTGTTGGCAAGACAGGACAAGAACTCTGACTCCTGGCAGAGTTAGATTCCTAGTAGACATCTGGATATGTGTCACTATTGCATGCCTTGTTGAAGGTCATCTGTTTCAGGAAGTCCTCATCCATATCTTGTATTATACATCCAGGTGATCTATAATAAAGTTGTACAGTGGTATCACTTTTGTTTCCCTCTCCTTTCATTTGTACCCAAATACTTTCAACAGGATTTCCATTCTTGAATTTCTGTGTGAGTATGCCTTTCTTTGTATACAGTGGGATATCTCCACCCTTTCTATTGGGTCTGTTCTTTCTGAATAAATTGTAGTCTTCCAATGTTGCATGCTAATATGAGTATCAGCACACCAAGTTCCAGAGAGCATCGTAATTGTCTTCCTGAATTAGGATCTCTGCTTCTTCCTGTTTATTTGCCATATTCTGTGCGCTAGGGTAGAAACTTCTAGGGTTTGGAAAGTGACCTACTGGTATCTCACTTCCTATCTCAACACTCAGTCTTAGTTGGTGTTAATGGTGAAGATATCATGTCTGGGCCCCCCACATGTAGGGTGCCTTAGGGCTCAATGCTTTGTCCTCTCCTGTTTAACCGCTGGGTGAAAATGAGCATAAAACTGCTGGGTGAGGTCATCCATAGGTTCAGGGTTTGGCATCATCAGAATGCTGATGATACTTGCTGTACATCTCAACCCTGGGCTGGGCAGGTAAAGCTGACAGTGTACTAACCTAGTGTCTGAAGGCTGTTTGGGTCTGGATGAGGCAGAAGAGACTTTGGCTTAATCCTGACAAGACTGAGTGGCTGTGGCTATTTGCCCTCCACCTCGAGGTCAGGGACATTTTAATCGTTGCTCTTGGATGGGGTAGCACTTCCCCATTTGATACTGGTGGGCAACTTGGGGGTCCTTCTGGACTTGTAGGTACTGCTCAAAGAGCAGGTGGCAGTTATGGACAGGAGGGCCTTTGCACAGGTTAATCTTTTGTGCCAGCTGCACTCTTTCCTTGACCAGGAGGCTCTATACATAATTACACTATGGTCACCTCATGATTGGATTACTGCAGTGCACTCTAAATGTTTGTTTGTTTGTTTATCCAATTTATATGGCTGCCCATCTCAACAAGTGACTCTTGGTGGTAAACAAAGTTAAAATAAAATAAAAACAATTATAAACATTACGAAAGTTAAAACACATCGGCCAAGCAACATCAACCCAAATCCCTAGCATACCCAAGAAGAAGAAGAATAGATGGTATTGTTTTGATGTTCTTCAGACAGTAAAACAAACGTGACACATACTTTGCAGATCATTATGATACTTTCCTCATTGTCCATGTTACTTCGAGCTTTCCCTGCCAACTTCCCTTGCTAAACTTTCACATATTTTTTTTCCTATTTTCTGGGCTCAGGCTGCTAGGAGTTGCTTCTCTGGATGAAGACTAGTTTGGATTGATAGAAGATGGAAAAAAGAAAAAGTGGGGTGGGGTGGGGTGGGGTGGGGTGAGAGAGTGTCTCTCTCACCCTCCACCTCCCTTGCAAAACTCCTGTATGCTGGCCCTGCTCCTTCACTCTGTGAGCTCACTCTCTGAAAACTGTGTTCCTTGTATGCCCCCAAGAACTTCCTCAGCTAGGTCAGCAAGAGTAATGCTCCAATCAGATACAGTGGACCATCTCTCAGGAAACAGTCAGCAATAAATCGACAACATTCAGCAACAGTTAGCAGTCAGTTAGCAATCAGTGGGAGTAGTAAACAGTCAGTAGTCTTTCCCCTCCATGGCTTTCCTTTCTCTTGTTGCTCCCTCCAACTGTCTTGACAAACTCCTGTTTGTTCTCCCTGTTCATGCACTCAGTGACACAATATAATATCAGGGTAATACCTTTATTAGGATCAATTAAATTAAAGGGATATGCACAAGTTTTCGAGTTCTTCAGATCCTGCCAATGACCATGCATAGTCCTTACATGAACAAGCCAGAGACTAAGTTTTGGGTTTTGTACTAGGTTGAAGTCACACCAAATTGTATTTTGAAACCCAATAACTGACTCTGGTTGGAAGAGATTGGACTGTCAAAATATGCTGCTCCTGTTTTAGACTGTGTTAAAATTTCATCTTATGGAGGCAGGATCAAAACTAGCTCCCATGGTGAATTCTGTCATTACAGCAAGAGCTTTGTGGAACTCAAAGGTATTCCTATACATAAATGTTATATTAAATGCAGGTGCTCTGCTTTGCTTTAATGTTGAAAAATCCATGTATGCTTCACGTATGCCAAGGTTTCATTAATAGAAGTGCTATTCATATAGTCAGGTGTGAAGCTATCTTAGTTCACAAATGATTTGGCAAGCATGGCAATAGTATCTTCTGGTGATATGCACAATATGTCTATCCACTAGATGAGAAGTTTTTTAAAGAACAACTGTAGCTGTATATGTATATGCCTGCTTTTAATTTTTGCCCTTATCCAAATTTCCTTCATGCAGATATCCCAAAAAGAAAGTGAAGCCCAGTTACAGAAGAGCTTGGATGAAGTCAGGGAAGAACTCTGCAAATCTCAGGCCAGTTATCAAAGTTTGCAGACAGAGCTGGAAAAGGCAAAAGAGCAGCAGTTCAATTTTGCTGGTGAGAAATCATATATTGCAATGACAGGGGATATGTATTTCCAGTATGAAAAAAAAAAAAAGCTTTAGTTCTATTTCTGTAGCTCAATATTTTTTAACAGAAAATGAATAAAATATCAGTGGGCAACCTACTCTCCTGCATAAATGAAACAAAAGTGTAAATTTCAGTACCTCAGTACTTTTACAATAAAATTTTGGCTAAATTCTGTCCTTTGAGTTTCAGGTACACCTCTGAATAAGTGGCTTTTCAGGAATAGATGATGGTTCTAATGTTTAATGTACATAATATGGTGGAATGGTGAGAATTAAATATTCCTTCCTGTGACAGAAAAGAGATAGAAAGGTCCAGCTGTGAGGTAGCCAAAGGTGCAATCATGGTTAATATCTACTGGATCCCCCAAATGGTGTATTTTAAAGAGTATTTTACGAGTTAAAGCGTTCCTTTACTTAAGAATGTGCAGTTGTTGTCTAACAGCCTTTTACTGGTTTATTAAAGGCTATACTGCAAAAGGGGTAAGGCCACCTGAAGACCATAAATAAATGTTTATAGTTTGATTAATTTAAGTACTTAACTATCCCATTTTAATGTACACAGATACATGTGCACAATTATAGTAATTCCTGTCTCCTTGCATCTAACTGGTTTAAAGAATAAATTAAGTATGTGAGCAAAAAAATGAAAACCTCCCATATACAGAGAAGCAAAAAGTCATGAAAGAACAGACACATTGGTGGACAAAAAATCTAGACAGATGTAGAATCATATCTTATTCTATTAAGCCAAGATGCAGAGCACCTTCATACGTATTACTTTTGGAACAAACTGGAATGGTAACTCAACATCAAACACTGAGCTGTTCTAAAACTGTTTCCTGGTAAGGATGAAAAGGAAAACTGTAGGTAACAAGAGGAGTGAGACATATTATTATGTTTATGCAACATTGAACCCACTTAAAAATAAAAAACTTTCCATTGTTAAAAACAGTCCTACATATTTAGAATCATGAAATAGCTAGAACACTAGAGTATAGAACATTTTTAAGAAAACAAAGATGCAATAGCAGAAAATTAATAAAAGCCTGAATGGACAGATACATCTTAAAATGTTACCTAATGCTCAGAAAGCTGAGCACCAAGCATAACTGAACAGGGAGGGAATTCTACTTCTGTTGTGCTTGTATTTTGAGCAAATCTGGCAAATATGCATCTCAGGACAGCATCCCTACAAGATCTTCATTGGTGGGTGGTCACAATGACATTATAACACTAATCATCATTATAGGTTCTACCAGATACCTGGATGGGCAGGGATAGATTTTCTCACCTGCTTTTCCTATTGATATTAGAGTCCACCTCATTTACATACAGATATTCTCTCTCTCTCTCTTTTCGCCAAATGCAGAAAGAGAAACAAACACAGATACTATGGAATATTAATAGTGTTTCCACCTATATGTTTGTAGTTTAAATCCATTTGCTGATGTTTATGCTTGTATTATATGTACATACATGTGCCCAAAGCTTTTGTTTTTTATATCTTACATTAGAATGTATATCCACAGTATTGTTACTGTATATCAGTGACATTTGCTTGAAGATACGCGTACGTATACCTCCTTTTTCATGGACAGATTCCAAGCAGAGGTTGACCAGCCATCTCTTGAAAATGCTTTAATATGGACTCTTACTGAGCAGGAGTCCATACTGATGACTTACTATAATGGATGACTTTAACAGCCCTATGAGAATATTGAAATCCATGTTTTTTACTAGCATTTTGACCATCTTTCATTCTTTAACAGAACTGGAGCCTAAACTATTGTGCTCTGAAATGGAGGTGAAGAGAAGGGTAGAAGAATGTAATAATTTACACCTTAAATTATCAGAAGCAACTTCCATAAACCTCCAGCTTGAAGAAAAGATTAAATTAACTGAAGCCCTCCTGGAGGCAAGCCAAATGAGAGAAGTGGAGAAAAACAAAGATATACAGGTCAGAGTCTTCAAGTGGTCTTTCTAGCCAGCCTCTCATTTTAATAACGTTGCCTCTCATTCAGTGGGACATTTTATCATCATTTTGGTACTGTGATAATATTACCTATTATGTCAGTATATTTTGGAACATAATGTAATTTTCTTACTTTTTTCCTATTTTAGGAAGCAAATAAAGCAGAAATTAGCATTCTTCTGTTAAGGTAAGGCTGGTGACTTTTAAAATATTGAATTTTGTTATTGATAAACAACTTCAGTTTGGCAAGAACATTGTAAATTCTTGTCTCAAATCTTTGCATGTCCTGAATCTTTGCTACCCACACCAAATTTTATAGTTAACATGAGGTACACTTTAAATGGCAGTGAATTAAGACCCACAACAAACGCCATGTTGCAGTATGGTTATAGTAAAAATGTATTACTTATTTGTAGCTGTATAGTAGTATCTTTATATCAGTGTATGCAGAATGAGAAAGTGAGAAATAAACTGGATTAATTTGAACTTTTACAGTAAGAAGGCAAATATAGTTTAATAAATATTGCTGAATCCATGTGATGTGAAACTTTGAAGAATATAATTTATACATAATGAGTAGATAAAATGAAAGGAATGAAAGAGCAGCACTATATATGTGCATGCTAAATGTACCTTTGTAAGCCAAATCCATACATTGGTACATGAAGGTTCACTTGCATCATACCAAAAGGAAGGGAAAATAACTGAAAGAATCTGCTACAGACTGAAAAGCCAGCAGAAGGCTTGGATGGTGCCTTCCTAAATCAGATTAACAAAGATTCATAGAGGAGAAGCATAGCAGTAATGGGAAACTTGAATTACACTATTATCTGTTGGAATTCAAGTTCTGCCAAGAACAGACAAATAAATTCCTGACTTGCTTTAATGATAATTTTATTTTCAGAAGGTGGATGATAAGTCAAAAAGAGCAGTTATCCAGATCTAGGCTTTGCCACTATGGCCTAACGGCTTAAAGAGATGAAAGTAATGAGAACCTGGGCTAGAAATGATTACATTATCTTGAAATGTACCATAGAGCCACAAGACCACAAAAATACTGTTTCAAATAACTAAGAAAATAATAGAGGGAGTCTCATGGTTTGAAAAAAAGAGAGTTCAAAATTGGCTACAGTATGTTGAAGACATTATCACAAACAGTTTAAATTACAGAAAAATGGGAGACATTTTAGAAACTGGAGATTACTGATAAACTCCAATAAATAAAAGTCATATGAACTGGAAAGAAAGGTAAATAACCAAGAACAAATTTTCTTAAGTAGCCACGTTTGAGCTTTAACATTCTGACATTTTCTTTGAGAAAAGATAAAAGTTAGGAGACTGGAGGTAGGCTTGTAGGCATGTATTGTCTTTTTCTTCAAAAGAGTGGGGAAGAATAATCCACTAAATTGATCAGTAGCTAGGAAAATACATACAAAATTAAGCAGTCAATAAACTGTTTGGGGAAAAAATTAAGTGAACCAAAACAAATTTCTCAAAACAAGTAACATTAAAATAACTTTATATCTTGCTTCAATAGTTGCTAGCTTGTGGTGTAAGATATCCTGATTTTAGCAGAACAGTGCCTTATGGTATCAGGAGGAGTGAGTTAACCATGAGACCCATGTCCTGTGCTCTTATTTCTAGTTATGCTTCTGAAAGTAGAAATTCGCCTGTGACTGTAAGCTGAATCTAGAATGTTCATTATTTCATAATATTTAATGAATTTAGGTACAAAAAACTGTAATAATGTCATATCTTCAGAACCAATATATTTTGTGAATTAATTTATATTTTTTGTGTCTACGCAATGAGCATGGCACAATTAAGCAGCAATACAAAATGTTACAATCTAAAGTATTTCTTAAAGGAAGCAAACAAGCCTGTTTTGCAGAGCTACTGCCTCTGATTCTCATGGTTCTATTTCAGTCTGCTCTAACTGTAAATAAATTAGACAATGGCCCTCATGAAAATATATGCTATGATTTAATAGAGGGAAATGGAAATCCCTACATTTGGACAGGCAAAAACTAAGTATAAGTATAGGATGGGGGTGTCTTAGTAGCTCACAAGCTGAATGTGAGCCAACACTATGATGCAGATGCAGAAAAAGCAAATGCAATCCTAGGCTGCATCCACACTAATGTCAAGACTAAGAGAAGTCCTCATTTCTCACTCTTCTGCTTGGCCAGACTGCATTAAAATATTGAGTACCGTTCACAGCTTCACACTGACAAACTGGAATGTGTCCGCTGGAGTACAGTGAAGATGATAAGGGGCTTAGAAGGGAAAACCAACTATTGGGTTTTGGGGCATTGGGTATTTTTCACCAGGAGACTAAAAGATTGGGGGTAGTCCTTAATTCTGCCAGCAGTAGAAAAGCCCACAGGGACTGCATTCCTGAAAATGCCCAGAGGAGCTCAATTGCCATCCTTAAATTCCTTAAGACAAGAAGTGGCCACTATATACGTACCACATTCAAATTATTCAAAGCCAAGGCAATAACACAACTTCTTTATGGTGCCCAGCTGAGCCCATTCTCCAATTTTGCACCATTAGAGCTTGTACAATCCAAATTTCTAAGATCAGTCCTTCAAGTCCCAAATTGTATCTCTAATGCCACCTGCAACTAGAGACAGGCCTCATGAAAGTGGAGGCTAGAGTGTGGGTGACCATACTCACCTATTAGCTCAGACTATCCTTTTTTTCCATTGGCCTTGCCCCATTAACTATGAGTGATGATTTTCAGTCCACATGGAAACAGGCAGTGACAACTAAAATCTTATTCCTGGGCTTCTCTCCAGGTCTTCTATGAGATACAATCAGGCCAAAGCACTCATTAAGCAGCATGTAGCAGACAGAGCGCACCAATTGGATCTAGCCAGGACCCCAGTCTTTATTGCCAGTGAATCCAACAGATACTCTGCCTCCCCTATGGCATACTTAACTAAACTTGAAGTCTCTAAACACAGGAAGGCCTTTACTCTGGCACAATGTCATGCCCTCCCCTCAGCTGTCCTTGAAGGTAGGAAGATTCCTTACCCAGAGAAACAATGCCCCTGTGACTCTGGACATACAGAAACAACAGGGCATGTGCATCTAGTGCCTATACTACAGAGACATTTGTACAAGCCTCATCTCACCATTGCTACATAAATACCCAGGGCACACAGGGCAATTCTATACCTCCTTGCTGCTTTTAGATACCAACCCTGCCACAACATATAATGTTGCCAGGTTCTGCGCAGCAGCGCTTAGAATTCATTGGATGATAACCTGTGCCATAAACTAGACTTAACAAGCACCTAGTTTGCATTCTTTCTGTAATAATTTTATTGAAGTTTTTAATAGATATAACAAAAACAAATACAAACTAAATTAAAATATTAAAGAAAAGTAAGAAAGAAGTTTAAAAAGTGCAAGAGAAAGAAAGAAAAAAGAAAAGAGCGAGAATACAAGAAAAAAGAAAAAGAAACAAAGGCAATAATAAAGAAGTAGCTTTCCAACCTTCATGACACCAAGTACAAGCTAACATAATAACTCTTCACCCTCTTCTAAAATTTCAAACAAAAAACTCTTCTTCCCATAACCTAACTCATATCTATAGACAATCCAGAAATCTTCATCTTTTCAGTCCTGGTTCAGCAAAAAGTCCATTAGAAGCTACCAGAAATATCAAACATATAATTTATCCCTGATCAAATAGTCCAACTTTATACTCCTTCCTTTTGCGCTTCACAATCTTAGCCTTTAATTCATTCCAGTGGTGTCACTGGAGTTGATCTTTCATCAATCTTTGGCATTACAAAAGATTCTTCAGATCCTTTTCCAAGATACAGGTAGTCCTTGCCTAACAACCACAACTGGGACTGGAATCTTGATTGTTGAGTGAAGTGGTCATTAAGCAAGATGCCCTCGTGACTGCTTTGCTCAACGACTGCAATCTGGGCACTCCCAGTTGCAGTTGTTAAGCGATCTCCTGGGTCGTTAAGCAGAAGAGCTGTCTGCTGAAGGATTGCAGCTCAGCAGGGAGCTGAAATCCTCCCAGCAGGCAGCCCTTTCACTCTCAAATATTCCTTCATGGGGCTGGAGGAATGGAGCTCAAATCTTCAGGATTAAGCTCCATTCCTGCACACCGCTGAGAGGTTTCCCCTCCCCTCCATGGACAGAGGGGAAATCTTTTGTGGGGTTGGAGGAATGGAGCTCAAATGACCATGGGGGGGGGGGGGGTGGCGCAATGTTTAACAATGGCCAAAAGTGCTTTACAAGCCGCAAAGCACCCTTTCCAAGGCCGTCATAACTTCAAACTGTCGTTAAACAAATGGTTATTAATCAAGGACTACCTGTACTTTGTAAATCCAGTAAAGAGGCACTGTCCAGGATTTCTTGTCACAACTGTTTCTTGTCCAACTCCTTTTCTTGATTCGGCTTTTGTATTTCCATTTTAGTAATCTTTTCAGTTTCATTATATTCCATACTTACAAGTTCTATTATATCTGCGTCAATTATAAGTTGCTTTTTAAAATCTCCCTTAACATCTTCTAGAGGTTTAACCATTGGAACCTTTATGCTTTCTAAGATATTAATTATTAATATGTCAGTCCATTTTTCAAAAAACTCTTTAACTCAAAAGCTATACCAGGGTTGGCCATTTTAAAACCCACATTTAAATGTTGATAGATGCACTTTTTTTTTCTGCCTAGTCCTTTAGTCCCCTCTAGTGTCCATTTGCAACATTCAAAGAATCTCAGTTCCTAATATGGATTTAGTTCCATTTCAGTTGTTTCCCATGAGTGTATTATTTAATTATATACTTGTTTTTCAAATCTTACAGCAAAAGTACAAATGTTTCCAAATCCCTCTGGTCTCCTAATCCATCTATAACTTTCTTAAATCATAATCTTTTCTTTCTTTTTTTTTGCTTTTTGCCAATTATATATTGTTTTTAAACTCTTAAGTCTCTATTTAAAATTCCTTGTATCAAGAAAGAAGGTAAAACTCACCAGGTGTCAAATTAAACTCAGTGTTTTGAAGGTCTCTAACATCCATGAGACAGTTAAATAATTAAAGTGAGTACAGCTGGCTTAGTGTCCCTTTTAAAGGCTCTGCCAGGGCTAAGAGCATGATGTCATCTCCCTTGTCTCCTGGTGCTCAATCCCGTGGGGGACTGCTGTTCTATGATCCCCTCACAAGGAGCTCCCATTCGGAGTGCTTATGGGCAATCTCCCATCCTCTCCTTCTCTGGAGAGATTCCAAAGGACTGGTGTATTTGCCAGTCCTTCATTTTTCACTGCAGTTGTCATCACCGCTATTCGTGAAGATGTCTTCAGTCAGCCATGACTCACCTGGAAGCTTCCCTAGTTTGCCATATTAGAGTGCTGTGTAATTTGATAGATATAGATTCCCACCTACTAATGTTTTATGCTCCTCTGGACCCATCTTATGCTCCTACCCCTTCTTTTAGATTCTTACAGATTTTTATATATACTTTCTATTTTAATATCTTCTAGCTTTTCATAATTTTTAAAACTCTGATATATCTTCTATGCTTTTTAATTGACTGTACCCCACCCTCCTTATGCTGGTCTATGACTGTAATAAAGATGTACATACAAGACTGCAGGAAGATGTGATAGCTATCTTCAAGGATATGAAAAAAAAAGTTATATAGAAGATGGGTGTAGTGAATGCAGTTCCCTTACCAGCTGACAGAACTCAGATATGCCCAATTTAGATCCTCACAAGCAGTCTTTTAGCAGTCAACATCTACATGAGGAACAGATAAGATTCATCAAGAGAAGTGATTGTTCTGTTAAACTTGCTAAGCACAAGCTGTTAAAAACCTGTCACTCGCAGACTTTCTGGCAAGCTCTGGATGAATATATGGATCTCCTTGATAGGACCGCTGGATTTGATGTTTCTGTTGGCAAATTTATCTGTCATGGAGTCAGTTTCACATATTACTTAAAACAGTTGATTAGGGCAGAGCTTAATCTGTGTCCTGCTAGTACAGTACCATCTACAGAACTCACATGCCAACATAATAACCGCTTCTGGCCCTGATGTTAGGTGAGCTCACAGAAAAACAGCTGAAGTTTTCGATAAGCATATATGGCTGGAAGAGTCAAAGTCTGGAATTCATTTGGAACCAGAAAGAAAATAGTACGCCTAAAAATATTCTGGAGAAGATAAGCTTTGATGGCATTTTCTGTATCATGGCTGCTTCCCAGTAACTCCCCTTCATTACTCACTGTAATAATTTTAATCTGAGTTTTAATGTGTGGTCAATAAAAAGCAAAACAAAACTAACAAATAGATTAGCTATGTTTTAGAAGTATCTACAAGCATTAGTTTGACCAATAAATGTTCTTTCAGAATCTGAAACTAACAAGGGATAAGTTTAAACTGGCAAAGTTTCAAATGTCCTATAGCTAGTGATATATCATTGTTACAATTCAAAAATACTGTATATACATACCATTTTGTTCAGTAAAGCTAGTGGCAGATTCTAAAGATCCCTGGTACAGATATTGGAAATGAAACAGGCAAGATGAGAACAAATTGGGTAAATCCAGACATCTTACTGTGAAGCAACTTCACTTTCTCAGGGGCAGGAGACTATAGAATAATTGGACACTTGGGGTAATTGGAAAATATGTTATATTTATTTTTAATATCCTTTAGAGATATTAAATGTGATAATATTTTAAAAGTTATGAATTTTGAAGAGATACAGAAAGCACTAATTTTCAGGAAAAAGTGATAAGGAATCTCTCCATTATCCATCTTATATTGTCTATTTTTTCTTGTCTCACTCTTTTCTGAAACTATCCTATTCATTTGGCATGGGTTTATTCTTCTTAGTAGGATTTAAAACTTTGCTTCTATGAGAAATTAGTGCAATGTTCCTTATTTTACATCTTTGATACAGTATATACTGTATACCAAACTTTTCCATTCTCCAGGTCACGGTGGTTAAATAAGTTGCAGTAGCAGTATTTTCAAATTTTGTTACAGCAGTAACTATAGGGAGAAGTCTGGGTGGATAAATGTTGACAGTGAGTAAGCAATTTAAATTAGATAGGTGTTCCTGAATGTCCTTAGCAAAGACTTGAGAATTCTAAATAACATGACACATCCCAAAATATAGTTCTGTGAAAATAGTGGGTGAAAATCTCTTTGTTTCAGGTTACAGGAATCGTCTACCCAGGCCTCCACACTGGAGGATGAAGCTTCAAAATTAAAGCATATAGTTGAACAGCTGAAAATGGAAAACAATGTGAGTAAATACCAAAGCATACATAAATTAAACTAATTGATCTGGTTATTCAAACCCAATGATTTTAAATATCAGTTTCATTTTCTTCCAGCTATTTTCCCTTGATATTTTGAGTAGGAATTACTGTTTAAATAAAACTATGTGCATGAATAATAGTCTGGAAGCCATGGCAGCTCCAAGGTATTACCTATTGGAATTCATTTTTGGGTGATCCAGTCACACACTTCACTGGTAACATATGGAAATTGTGGTCCAATATCATATATGTGCCCTTTCATGGTATGTCTGAGACTACGTTGGTGACATGCTCTCACTGGAATCGTTGGCTGCCCTCCAAAAGTAGGAAAAAAAGTTTAGTCCCTGGCTATAAAATGTAAATGGAATTTTAATCTGTAAATGTATAATTTCTAAATCATGGGATATATTTTTATTGTATTCTGTGCTGATGAGATTCCCATCTAACTATTATGTTAAGTTAACTAGCATGTTCCAAGAGAACAACCCAAGAATATCTTGGGCCTGAAGATCCAATATAGAAAGATTAAGAGAGCTAAGTGAGTTTAGCCACAAGAGGAAAAGATTGAAGGGAAACATGATAGCACTCTTCAGCTATCTGATAGGTCCTCAGGGAGAAAAAAGTGTAGTCTTCTTCTGTATTGTTCCTGGATCTGAGCCGCAGAATTTGTTAGGTAATGGCAAATTGTAGAATACGGACTAATATGACTCCGTTTTACTCAGGAAGGCAGATGTGAGCTGATCATCAGGGGAAAAATCTAATACTAAGAACAGTTGAAAAGTAGAACCAGTTGGCTAGGGAAGTCTTAATCACTAGACAGCCATATATTAGAGATACTTTAAAATGGATTCTTGCATTGACCAAGGGATTGGACTTGATCCCTTTCACTCTATGAATAAATTATCTCATTCATATATAACCGTAAGAGATAGTGTGTTCAACGAAGATTTATTGAATAAACAAAAATTCCCTGGATTTGCACAACATGCTGATCCATCGACAACAAAATTCATGTTTACATACAATAATGGATGGATTCACATAATAAGCCATAAGTTGTTTATTTGGTTTGGGCTTAGTGTGATCAGTTTATATGCCTTAAGTTCTTTCTGAAAAGCAGAGTAAGGGCCAGTTTTAGCTCTGAATGAGTATTGTATAATTTAGAAGCAATGCATATTCATATCCATTGGCATTAATATATGGTTTTTCATATGTACTTGGCAAAACTAGGAAGCTTTGGAAGCATATATTTTTTCCTATCTATATTCCCAAGAGTTTATTTTTTACTAATAGTAAGGTATCTTAGATATATTTAATTCACACCTTCCTTCCAAAAAGTTCTTGAAAAAGTTCCTAAATTTATACTCGCAATATTAATCTGTATCTTTCTGTTTGATAATTAAAGTAGTGAGTATATGAGATCCCACCTTGAGCATGTAAAAATTTATCCCAGGTTTGAGCTTCACCCTGAGTAAAAGCACAGCTACAGTACAAATAATATATAATACCACCAAATCAACAACGGAAAGCATGTGTAGATGCTTTTAGAAAACATATTAATGTTGTAGGATCATAATAATCTACTCATAATTAATACAAATAATTCATAAAATGCTTTTTTAACCTCCAGAATTGATGTTTGATACATATATTTATTTTATTTATCTTTGCCTTTTGAAAAAGGAGTGACTGTCAATAAAGTATGATAAATGAATTGTGGCACCCTCCTAACTCTCTTTGTCATTTAGCTATAGAGGGTCAGGATTCTTACAGAACAGGCAGAAATTCCACAGTACTCCTTCACCTCGCATGAAGATAGAACAGCAACCATGGATATTCTAGTTGTATTTCAGCTGCATAATAGCCAGAATTTCAGTAGGAACGGTTTCCCAAACGGTCTACAATGTTTATAGACTCTGGAGATACAAGCAAAGTAGAATTAATATTTCAACAACAAAAATTAATTATCACTGAGAACACCAGTAACCTTTCTAGATAGAACAACATAACTTAAAAGACAATATCTACTTTTAGAAGGCAAAAGACTGCCAACTTATCAACAAAAGGCACTGTAAATATTAAAAGGGAAGATAAAATAACAGTATCTTCCTTGATATTCATACTTCATATGAGGGAATAGTTACAGAATCAGCACTAACAGCAATTTTGTAATCTCCATTCCCGTCATCTCTACTTATGTATAACAACATTTTTGTGACCAGAGGGAAAAATGTTGTCATACCTAAATTTTACGATTGATTTCTTAACTTTGTTTACATTAATTTTTTTTAATGTATTATTAAACTTTTTTTTAGGACCTGGCAATTTCATTAGGAGAAGCAAATGAGGCACTGCACACACTACAAGCAAAATCTGATCAGTATAGAAATATTCTTGCAGAGACTGTAAGTGAAACTGTATTTGCCAACCTGATAAAATGAATCGTTTCCAATTTCCCATTTGCACTCTGATGAAGTTCCTTAACATTTGTTAACAAAGAGAGCCGGTTTGGTGTAGTGGTTGAGGTGATGGCCTAGAAACCAGGAGACTTTGAGTTCTAGGCCTGCATGAAAACCAGATGGGTGCCTTTGGCCCGCTCACTCTCCCTCAACCCAACCCACCTTACAGCGTTGTTGTGGGGAATGGGAGAATTTGGGCCAGTCACTCTCTTTCAGCCCAACCCACCTCACAGGGTTGTTATTATAGGGGATGAGTGAGATTGGGCCGGTGACTTTCCCTCAGCCCAACCCACCTGACAGGATTGTTGGTCTGGAGAATGGGTGACTTTGGTACAGTCAGATTCCCTCAGCCCAGCCCAACTCCCAGGGTTGTTGTGGGTAATGGGAGACTTTGGCTAATAGCTTTCTCTCTCAGCCCAACCCACTTCACAGGGTTGTTGTGGGGGATGGATGACTTTGGGCCAGTCACTGTCCCTCAGCCCAACACACCTCACAAGGTTGAGGTTGTGGGGAATGGGAGACCTTGGGCCAGTCACTCTGCCTCAGCCCAACCCACCTCACAGGGTTGTTGTGAGGAATCGGAGACTGTGGGCCAGTCACTCTCCTTTAGCCCGACACACCTCACAGGGTTGTTGTTGTGGGGAATGGGTGACTTTGGGCCAGTCACTCTCTCTCAGTGCAACCCAACTTACAGGGTTGTCGCGTTGAACGGGGGACTTTGGTCCAGTCACTCTCCCTCAATCCAACCCACCTCGCAGGCTTGTTGTTGTGGGGAATGGGTGCCTTTGAGCTAGTCACTCTCTCAGTGCAACACACCTCACAGGGTTGTTGTGTGGAATAGGTGAATTTGGCCAGTCACTCTCTCTCAGTGCAACACACCTCACAGGGTTGTTGTGTGGAATGGGTGACTTTCAGCCAGTCTCTCTCTGTCTCTCACTCTCTCTCTCAGCCCAACCCACCTCACAGAGTTGTTCTGAGCAAAATAAGAGGCAGGAAAATTAGGTATATTTACTTCCTTGAGTTAAATATAAAAAAGGTGGGATAAAAATCTAATAGCAATCATTTGTCTTCTGGATACACATGATCTATTATCTGTATTAGTGGGGGTTTTTTGCTTTTAAAATTATAAGCCTCCCAACAGTCTTGGTAAACTTAGGGAGCCTCTAAATTATATGTATAAAAAAATGAATGAGCGAGCTAATAAATAAATAGTAGTTTTGCAGGATGTGTATCACATATGGTGATAGAAAATGCTTGTACATACAAACCTAGGGTTTGTTATTGTTCATATGCCATGATTGAAAATATAGCTTTTCTTCTCCTTAATGGGTGCTTTTGCAGAAAATGGTGGACAGGCACAAATGTTTAGACTCTCTGAAAATATTTTGTAAAAAAGCTCAGTGATTGCAGAATAAAAGCTTTGTGTGTTGAATGTTAGCATAGAAGTATTATATTGAAAGTGAATGCTTCAGCAGGATGTTTTCCCATAATTACTTGTTGCTTCGGTAAGATGCCTCCTCTGGGAGGCCACTGCATGTAGTTATCAACCATGCTGCTTCTTACTAAAAAAAGGAATTTACATCCATCTATTTCTGATTGATGGAAAGGCTTCTGCCTCCAGTTTCTGTGTTGGGATAAATTGAATTCTGAGGCACACCCTTTCTGCCTTCCTGCTGCATTTCTTAGTGACAGTTGGAGTAAGTATATTTATATTGTACCTTTACTTTCCCAAACTGGCTAAAATCTTTCTGCTAAAGTTAGTAAGCAAGCCTAGTTACAATGTGTCCCCAAACAATGATAGAATGAACCTATATTGGTAAATGTCAGTTTTTCTCTTCCTACCTTGTTTCTTAATCTTCATTTCTTCCTCAAAATCACAGGAAAAAATGCTGAAGGACTTGCAGAAGCGGGTGGTGGAGGAGGAGCAGGTGTGGCAAGAGAAGCTGGTTGCATCTGAAGAAGCGCTTGCAAAGGTATAATATTTGTGGATATGCGTGCATGCTTTATCATTGTTTTCTAACTCTGTGTCTTGATTCCCAGCATGAATTCTTCCTTTTGCAACCATTTAAATGAAAATCCATTTATATATTAAATTAATCTCCAGTTTTGTTACCATGAGGATTACTATATTTTATTGCTGCTTATGACTTTACAAAGATTCTGATTAGTGATAGGGACATATATAAATATCTTATTGGCAAAGGAAGACTAGCTAATGTTCCTTTGCTCTGGTAGCTTTTGTGCAAGTTTGCTGCACTGAGCAATACTTAATTTAATTACAAGATGTAAATGACATATTGAATCTTAAGGTATCATATTTTGCACTATGCCTTATTATCAACACGTTTCTTCTCCCCTATTTTTTGCTTGTTTTATATTATTTTTGAAAACTGTGTACTTTGTAAGTTAGATAAGTTAAACTTTTAGTTAATTCTAATGACAATATTATAATTGTGACGATGCTTAGGAGTGCTCCCTAGATAGCAATGTAATAATCTAGATACACTGGATGCCAAGGAAGTTCCCAAATAAGGAAATAACTAACTATACTAGTTTTGAATTGGTAGTTGTCTACAAGAAAATGAACATTAATATTCTGGGATCATCTAATAATACAATATTTCTTACAAAATGGCCAGATTCATCTATATATAAAACAACAGTATACATTAATGAGTACATATATGCATTACAATTACCTGATGAAGAGGTATCCCCTTGAGACTCCCTTGAGACCCAGATATAATAAGGGCTGGTGCTGGAATGGCTTGAGCTGAGTGTGGTAAGGTGTCGAAGACCAGGATGGAGCCGTGAAAAACAGAGGAGCCAGTAGGAGAATGAGCTAATAGGTACCAGGATGGGAAAAGGACCAATGAATTGTGCTGCCAGCTTCCATATTCAATTTCACAAGGGGAGGTGCTTCACTGCCAGCCAGGCCGAATTGCCAAACTTGGCCTTCAAGGTGGCCTTCCATTCATCCTTTTCCTTGATCCAGACCAAGTTGTGCAGTCTGCAAAGATTCAGTCTGGTGAAGAGGGTGGAGGAGTGTAGCCATTCTAGGAGGTCCAAGATCAATGGAAGGGGGTGCCAATTGTGCAGAGTCATTTTGTTTAGGCCCTATACTCATTATAGAGAAGAATCTCCCTGAATTTCTTTTTTTTCACAAATAGGATAGATAAACCTCCATTATAGATTTTTTTCAGAGAGGCTGTGGAGCACAGAGACAGTCTCTTAGGATGATTGCTCCAGCAATCAGATTGATTATACCCATCATGGGGCCAGTGAAGAGGAAGATGGTTGACCTCATTGGCACTGAAGATATGGAACTCCACATACTTGACCAGTAGTTGCTTGGGCACATTCCTTGTTCCTAATGGAGATTGAGTGGCCTGCAGGATTTCTGCATCTCATGGCATTGTTCAATGCAGAAACATCAATGTACCTTTAGACCAGGAAATCATTGGTCATGACAGCACAACCATGGAAGCCCCAGGATGAGCTGTAAGTGGATTGCTGGAATTATTCTTGGTGCTGCTGTACATGCAGGGTCACTGGTTCAGTGATCTTGATCATGGGACTTGATTCAAGGGGCCATCTGTGAATAGTCTTGGCCACTACAGCACTTGCAGGTGTACACAAGAGGATTCCAACTTGTTCCATGAAAGCAGCATTGATGAAATTGTAAGGGGCCCTGTGGTTGATGGTGACAAGAGTCTGGAAAAAGTCACGCTGTAGAACCTGCAGCTCCACTGGAATCTGGAAGTAAGGCAATAGGCTGATGGGTGGTTTGGGCTTTGGTACTGCACAACTAAACTCAGTATCTCAGTACCTAAGTCTGGGTAGTTTTTCTGGGCACTGGTGGGCATTATGGTTTGGCTGTCTGGCAGTATAAACAGAGGTTTTGCTGGCTCCCTAAGATCTTCTCAAGTTCAGATAGCTAACCCCGACTACTGCCCAGCTCATAGGTTCCTCTGTACTTGCCATGGTGTGTGTATTGGTGGGGTTTCCAGTGGGTGTTGGTGGGGCAACTGATTGGTTGGTGGTTGCACATTTCTACTGAACCTTGCATGCTTCAAGATGTCCGCCTATCTGCATATAGAGCTGCATTGGCCCCATGGAACTTCTTCACAAAAGCTACCTAGTTCTGCAGGGGTTTTCAGCCACAAAATATGGGGCGGCCCATTTGGCAGCAGGACCCATCAGCAGGCTTATGACAAACTCCATGCAAGCTCTGAAGAGAAAGTCTCTGGGTGCATGCCAGTATATAAATTACATTGTGCTAGGAAGGCAGCAAATAGGTTGGAGCATCTGTCAAACTTCTCAGGAACAGCCAGGAAGCACTTTGAGAGGTATGATGTCAAAGCTTCAGGTCCCTCCAGGTGCATCTTTATATTAGCCATTGCAATCACTAACTACACCAGCTGCTATGGAGCATCTAGTTCTGTTAGTACAGTGCTTCCATTCATGTGGAGGAATGGGGCTGGAAGCATCTTTCATGGTCCAGCTTTAGAAGGGGAGGCAAACACTGGAACCCTGAACAATAAGGGTGCAAGTGCATTGCGGAGCTTGCTGAGGAGCTGGAGCCAAGCACAAACCAAAAATGTGCTTAGTTTGGAGATTAGCAATAAGAAGACAGAGTGTAGGGCACACAAAGGGTACATGTGTAGGTGGCATGAAGAATATGAGGCAAGAAAACAGAATTACTGGGAAGGGAATATGGGATGTATGCTTGCATGTTAAGTTTACCAAGAGTTGAGGAAGATACATAAAGCAAGGTTGAGTAGTCCATGGTCAGAGAATGTAACGAAGTCTTAGAATGCCAGGGGAAAGGAAGAGATGTGGTCAGAAGCAAGTGTGAAGGTCAGAAGTGTAGCAGGAAATATGGAGCATGGAGTACTGGGCCAGAGGCTGAAGTTGCAGGGTTCCTCAGAGCTCTCCACTCTCTCCCTTCCTGTTTAATATTTACTTGAAGCAGCTGGATGAGGTCATCCATTAGCATGGTGGTATGCAACTTTACATCTCTACCCCTGGCTGACTAAATAATGCCATCAAGGTTCTTTCCTGATGTCTGGAAGCTGTGGAGGTTTGGATAGGGAAGAAATTTTTTTGTACAATTTTTTATTAAGGGTTTTGAAAAGAAGATAAAGACTAACAAGAACTAAAATAAAGAAAAGGAAAAAAGGGGGGAAGGAAAAGACAAAAGGTTCAAAAAGAAAGAATGAAAAGAAGTAGAAAGAAGTAGTTTTCAGTTTTCTTTGTAGCAAATGTAAGTACAATTACAAAATTATCTTTTGCTCTATGGTTACAAAAAGAAAAGCTCTCTTTTCTATTATCTATTTTTTCTAATCATCAAAGCCATAAATCATAAGATCCTTTTTTTTCTGTTTCTTGCAAAAAGTCTATAAGGGGTTTCCAGTCAGCCATAAATGTAGATGTTGTCTCTTCTCTAATCAAGGAAGTTGGTTTGGCCACCTGTGCAAGTTCCATCACTTTTACCAACCATTCCTCCATTGTGGGTAGTGCCAAGTCTTTCCACTTTTGAACGTATAATAATCTCACTGCAGTGGATGGGGAAGGTTTAGATTGGGTACAAGGCAAGCAAGACCAACTGGCTATGGATTCTGGGACCTTCCTGCCTTTATGTAGAAACTTTTCATCTTTAATTCTCAGTAGGGTTGCACTCTCCCAGACAGAACTGATGTACAGTTTGGGGATCCTTTTGGACTTGTGGCTCCTGCTTGAAGAGCAGGTGGCAGCCATGCTGAAGAGGGCCTTTGCAAAACTTAGCTACTGTACCAGTTGTATACATTCATGGATCAAGGGGCCCTGCTCATAGTCACTCATGCCTTAATTCCCTTGGACTATTGCAATGAGGTCTACATGGGGTTGCCCTTGAAGAGGATCTGGAACCTACAATTGGTCCAGAATGCAGCAGTGCAGGTGGTTATCGACATACCATGGTACAATCATGTAACACTACTTTTTTTCAAGCTGGACTGGCTTTCTCTAGTCTTCTAGATACAATTCAAGATGCTGGTTATCATATATAAAGGCCCTCATGGCACAGGGCTGAACTGTCTAACTCTGATTATGTCTGCCTGTCCACCAAGATCCAGAAGAGTCGACATTCCCTCTAAGAAACAATGCCATCTCTGTCATAGCACCTGCCCTTTGGAACAGCACACACCCTGAGATTCAAATGGCCCTAACCCTGTTAACCTTCTGTAAGGCTTTAAATACTTGGTTTTTCCCCTAAGCTCTGGGCCAGGATATAGGATTAGCCTGTCTGGAAAATAGTTTGGGGCTGTAAATATGATGTGGTTTTATCTTGTTTGCGTTATGTTATGCTCTTGTGATTTTTATATTATTGCTTACCTTGATTTGCTTTTAATTCTGTGTTAGCTACACACAGTTGTGTTTGGCTAGTTGGGCAGTCATAGAAATGGTATAAATAAATAAATGCCTGCCTTCCTCGGTGACAGTTGGGCAGTCATATAAATGGTATTAATGAATGCATCTCATTCTTTTATCACCTTGCATTTGGATGAGTGCTGTGTGCTCTATTTGGGGTGCTTTTGAAGACTACTCAAAAACTGAAGTTGATGCATAATGCAGCAGTCCACTTACTGGGGATAACAGTCAAGGCCACACCTGTATAGCAGGAGCTGCATAGGCTGCCAAAATGTTTCTGGGTACAATTCCAAGTGCTTGGGTCCTTGTTATCTGTGAGACTGTCTTCTCCAAGTGAAGTCTGCCCATTCTATGAGTGCAGATCAAGAAACTATGATACAGATTCCTTTCCCATGGGATATTAGGAGGGTAAAGCAGATACAGAAGCCCCATGAAATCAAGATGCCCCCCTCTCTGTTAACGTTTAAGAATGCAATTAAGATAGTTTTCTTCTGAGTTTTTAGGGAACAGGGTGCTATCTATCTATCTATCTATCTATCTATCTATCTATCTATCTATCTATCTATCTATCTATCTATCTATCTATCTATCTATCTATCTATCTATCTATCTATCTATCTATCTATCTATCTATCTATCTATCTATCTATCTATCTATCTATCTATCTATCTATCTATCTATCTATCTATCTATCTATCTATCTATCTATCTATCTATCTATCTATCTATCTATCTATCTATCTATCTATCTATCTATCTATCTATCTATCTATCTATCTATCTATCTAATCAATTTAAATAGCCA